CCCCCCCCCCCCGTCCTTATAAATGTTGTAGTCATCCTCCATCTATTTCCAGGGCCGTATTTTGTATCATTGGATGTTGCGACTTCTCTGACGTACACTCCGAGGTGGCAGAGAAAACAGAAGATTACTTGTGGATTAAACTTAGTCAGATTCGATTTGGAGACGATGCGGAATCTGAGGAGGGGGGAAGTACACAAGATACACTCACCCTGCCACAGTTTCAAACCACATTATCTGAGGAGTATGGTATGATAGAGAATTGGAATTTTGTTTTTGTTTTGTTTTGATTATGTACATGAAACAAACATTACATCAGGTACTTTATATCAAGCCTTACTCTGTCATTTATTTTGTTGAGCAATATATTGGCAGAAAATATAACAAATATTTCAAACCATTTCATCTTATATTCCTTAAATGATAATGGAACAAATGGAAAATTCTTCACAAAAATTCCAAATGAATTACAACTCAATTCAGGTCTGAAATAAATGTGCTACAGGAAGGACAATTTGGGAATTTTCTTTTTCTCCCTCCATACAGGTGAGAGTCACTTCAGCGCCTATCAGCAGCCATTCTTGTACTTTGAGGTGCTCCTTCTCACGGCACAGTTTGAGGCAGCCATCGAGTTCCTGTCCAGAATCGAGAGATTACGATGTCATGCAGTCCACGTGGCGTTGGTGTTGTACGAGATGAACATGTTAGCGCTGTCCCAGAGTATACAGTCACAGCTGTGTGAGTGATGATTGGCTGGTTATTATGTACAGACACAGATGTGTCTGTACATATTGCCATCACCTGCGTCTGTCGTCGCCGTCGCCGTCGCCGATCATGTCGCCGTCGCCGTCGCCGTGCACTTTCAGCGTTAACACCATAAGTGGAAGACAGTTTTACTTTTTGGCTTTATATTAACAGAGCTGATGAATATTCATAAAACACAGGTCAAGTTCGAAAATCAGCATGATCAGGCCATTATTGTAGAATTGATGCTGTTTTTTCACTTTTCAGCATATATGCAACACTGTTAATACATTTCAAGGAAAACCCATAGGCCTGTTGTCATAAAACTCACAGGAGTAATCAATCTTACTAAAACACAGGTCAAGTTCGAAAATCAGCATAATCAGACCATTGTTTTATAAGTTATGCTGTTTTTTCACATTTCCTCAGATTCAATTCTTAGGCATGTTAACAGTCTCATTATTTAATTAATAAGATACGTAAAAGTGTTTGTTTGACATTTCCTGCATCTTTACAACATTGTTAGTTGATTACGTAAAAATGATGGTAAACTTGTAATCGTGTATTGTGTAATAAGGTGTCAAAAATGGAAATAAACTCATATCATTGCAGTTTGTAAGATTCAATCATTCACTATGTTCAGAAACTCAGAATGGAGGAAATTGGACATTTGACACTGTTCTATTGATATTTTTCACATCTCATCAATTTTCTTAGTTGATCATATAAAAATGGCAGTAAACTGTTAATTTTGTTTTATGTTAAAAAAGTGTTAAAAATGGAAA